TCATACCTTCTTCTGCACCAGATCTGTCCAATTAATACTCGCAAAGAATGGATGTGCTTGTATCTCCTTAACATCATCCTGTCCTCCGCCTAAACGATTTCTAGGATTCTTAGCCAAAAGACCAGATAATAGACTTTTTGCTTCATCTGTTATATTCCGCGGAAATTTCACATCTTCTAACAATATCAGCGTGAAAAGCACATCATGATCACGATTGTAGAATGGTAGTCTTCCACAGATCTACAAATTTAAGAAATATATTTATTTATAGATGTATTTACAAATTTTATGTAGTCTTTTGCTCACCATCTCATACATAACCACACCGGTCCCCCACCAATCCACCGCGCGCCCATAATCATTATCATCTAATACTTCGGGGGCTAAATATTCCGGTGTGCCACAAAACGTCTTCGTTGTACGACCGTAAGTGATGTCCTCCTTGCACAGCCCAAAGTCCGCTACCTTAATGTGGCCATCTTTGTCCAGCAAAAGATTCTCCAGCTTTAAGTCACGATAAATGATGCCCTGCGAATGCAAATATCCCAGCGCCGATATTATTTCGGCGCCATAAAAGCGTGTTCGCTCCTCTGTAAAGATGCGCTCATGACTCAAATGCCAAAACAGCTCGCCACCATTCACATATTGCATGACAAAACAGAGACGATCATTGGTTTGAAATGAATATTTCAGTGACTACAAAACAGAGAACAGAAAAACATTTACATTAGATATATTTATTAATGATTAGGCTAAAACGATCTATACTTAACAATCAAATACTTTATAAATATATGTACATTGCAGTCGGAAAATACATCTATGCTGGCTATTCGCATATGCTACATTCATACATTTTTATTGCAGAGAAATAAATTTGCAAACTTAAATATACATACATACATTGATTGCAGCCCTACCAGTATGATCGTATCGTAAAGAATGTTCTACCTCTATCTATGCATTAAATCTAATTCTGATTTCAATTGAAACTTTTATGTGTAAAACGCTGCATATTGATCTATTATAATTATCCTGATCATACACCTGTAATTATAAAAATTAATAGACGTAGCTACGTCATCTTTGCTGATGATCCAAGTATATGCTGTAAAGCAAGTACATATACATATGTATATATCCAAATCTGGCCCATCGATTTAGTTTCTTTGTCTTTTGCGCCTAACCATTAAATTCGACACTCATATGGCAAGGCAAACAAATCGAAGCGGGGAATCCCCCTACTTTGACGCTTCACATTTCGTTACTGACAATTATTCGATATGATGAAATAGAATAACACTTACAATCAGGAACGGATGATTTGTTGACTTTAGCACGCGGCTTTCAGTGAGTGTGTGTGCGACCTCATCCTTTTGTATGATCACCTCCTTTTTGAGAATTTTGATTGCATACAATCTGGCAGTAGCCTTCTCGCGGCAGAGAATTACCTTGCCAAAGGTGCCCTTGCCGAGCACCTTAAGGAATTCAAAGTTTTCAAGAGTCTAAATGATATGCGAGTTAATCGATGTTCAAATAGATGAATATAGGGGTCTGTTTCCCAATACGTACCACTTTTTTAACGCCGCTACTGTTGCGTGTAGTGCCTTGCACTGAGAACTGTTCGGAGAGCTCCACCTCGGCAATGCCAGCCATATCCACATCGGCCATATCTGTTTGTGCTGATGGAGACATGGCCGTCTCGCCCATCTCGCATAGCCTGCTGGCCACATTACGTATAGCCTCCGTCCAGCCTTGGCGTTCCTCTTCCGAACCGACAGCAAAGGTGCGCTCAATTACTGACGTCCACTGCAGACCGCGTATGATGAATGTAAAGGGCTTTGGCCGATCCACGGCCATGATTTGGCAACCGCGCACGGTAAAGTTGTTGAGCACGTGCTCCTGCGATGTATAATCAACCGGCTTGCTGCGATAGCCCATCAGAGTACCATCGTCGCGCAGAACAAAATAGCGTTGGCGCCAAGTCTTGATATGCTCGCCGCGCTTCGACAGCCATCCCTCTTTCACGATCTGTGCGATGGGCGAAACGAAGGGCTCAATGGGGCTGGTGGGCGATGAGCCCGTTGCTGTCAAGGACATGATGGCTTCTGTTGCCGTCACTATTGGATACCGGATGGCGCGCACCTCGTTGTTTAGCAGTGCGTCGCTCAGTTCCGACACGTTGCAATCGTTGATGTTGTTGCTGTTGCTACCGTTGCTGTTGTTATTGCTAGCGTTGCTGTTGCTTGTGTTATTCCTGTTGAAATTAAAGCCCAAACGACCACCAGTGATCGCTAAAGTTGTTGGTGTGGGCGTTATTGAGGCAGATCTAGGTGCGGCGCTGGCGACCACAGTCGATCTCCTCTGCAGCGCAAATGGTAAATAATTCGTGTTGAGGCTGTTCCCAGTTCCGGGTGTACCAAGCTAACCAATTCCGCACGCCCCAGTCCCAGTTCTACAATGACGGCACTTGTTAAAAAATGCACAGGTCTAAATAGTACAAAAAAGTATTAGTGTTTCTTAGCATTTTCGCGAGTGCATAATCCACTTCTTTTATACATAAATACAACTGTGTACCCTTTTGAGATGGGCACGTGATGAAACTCAGAAAGTCCCTGCAAATTTCAACAAAAATACGAATGATTATAAAATCCTTGATCGTAAAAATTAGGTATACTAGATTTTAAATCAACAAAACATGAAAATGACAACTTTTCTTCCAATTTCAATTTCAAATTATTTTTCGTGTCACGCAAAATATTCAGCACGCACCCATCTCTAATATGCATATACATACATACATATATGCATATGCATATTTTGTTATTGTCTTTTGGCGTGTTTATGGCAAATTGCACAGCCCTTTGTTGTTGTCGTTGACGTTGTTATTGTTATTGTTATTGTTGCCGCTTGCGTCACCAGCTGCAGTAGAAGCAGCTGCAAAACTGTTTAAAATAGGATCGATCGTTCGAAAAAATAATAATAAAAATAAAATTAAAAAAAAAAAAAAAAGAAAAACAGAAAATCGAGCATTTACGATATTTCCGTTCGCAAAAGGGCTGGCGCGAAGACGACGATGACGGCGGCGACTGCCCTGGCGCTCTCTTTCACTTAGTCATTGCGCGGCCCACATGTAGAGGCGCCAGCATATTGACAGCGCGACTGTCGCAATTGTTCTTGCTGTAGCTGTTGCTGTTGTTATTATTGTTGCTTTTGCCATTTCAGCTTCAAACAAATTCCCCGCGAAGCGGTCGGCACCAGCGATACGAGCAAAATTTTTCGCGATTGCATTTACCGCGAAATTAAATCAAAACAAGTCGACGGATCACTGCTGTTCATGAACTTACACGCATACATACATGCATGCCGATGTACGCACATATTTACATACATACATATGTATGCATACGCGCTAGTGTTTGTATGTATTCATGCATATACATACATACATTTGTATGCTTGCATGTCGCGCTCACTGTCTGTGTGGCCCGCTGGTTGCGATCGCAACGAGCGATAAAGGTGTGAGGGGCACGTGTGCATGTGTGTGTGTGTGTGTCAGAGAGCGCGGCAATGATCGCAGCTGAAAAAAACATATTCATTTGCAATTTGCGAAAATGTCAACTCCGTGCCTTGGCGGTCGCTGCCGGCTGTACAAATTTCGCTATCTAAAACTGTAAACAAATGTACATAAAATAAAATCGACAAAATACAAGCACACACACACATATGTATGTACACACTCGTGCACATATGTTTGTTTGTCTGTCTGCAATGCAAAGTGCGAGGCCGCGACCAAAGAAAAGCGTGTAGGCCGGCCGGGGAAGTTGACGGGTGAGACGCGAACATGTCTCGACAGACAATACATACATATGTATGTACACAATAACGTTTCTTTCTGTGTGCCAGAGTACTTGTGTGTGTGCGTGTAGGTCGGCGCATCAAGTGATCAGCAACAACAACAAAAAGAATAAAATGCACACAGGTTCGGAATAGATTCACTCCCTGAACCGAACCAGTTGCAAGCCAGTTCACTCGGAACACACGCACTCAAATGTATCCATAAATTCATGAGAATTGTTTATGCAGACATATTAACTATTTAATGACAAGAATTTTTTTTACAGCAGTTACGATTACCCCTTCATGTTGTTGAACTTCTATAAAAAACAATAGTCTGCGCACGAGTCCGAACAATTGTTCGAACCGGCAAACCGAACCGCAAGCAAAACTTTTCGAGATTGCAGCCTTGTCAGCAACATGTCTAGACGCTAATACAGTTAACAAATGCACATATATATATATACACACGCACGTACACATACGTTTATTTATATGTGCATACACATACATATATGTATGCACGCAAACATACAGCCCCAGAAAGATAGATTACCATCGGGGGCAGACAACACTGTTAACGTCGACGTCGGCGTCGGCGTCTGCGTTGACGACGGCGACTCTGACAACGAAAAATCTGTAAGCGACCGAGCGAACAACAATAACAAAGGCCACGGCTGTTTGGGGGAATTCGGCATAAAGCACTTGCATTTGAAATGCCACTACAAATTTTGAACCCACCTAATCGTTCAAAAGAACCGACTTTTGCATTTGATTTTACTTTTTTTCAGAATTGTAAAAGGCAGACTCTGCTGCTAATGGTGACGGTGACGGCAGCGACACTCACGTATGTTGTTTTTGTTTCTGTTGTGTGTTAACGAGTGAGAGTGTTGCTAGAGTTTGTGTGTATGTGTGGCTTCGGACACACACAGTTCGATTCTCCACGCAATTGTTTAACTGATCGAAAGACTTTTTTTGTCCTAGTTCGCATAATATATGTATGTTGAAGTTTTAGTTTTTCATCAACACACGCACTCACACTTAATTTTCCATGTAGATGCGCCGTTTGGTTTTTACGCTTCACTTTTTTATTCGTGCGATATACGAAGTCTAAATTGTGGTGGTTCGTCGAAACACCATGGCGGTTGGACGATATGACTCATCCACAGCAACACTCAGCATGCTATGCCAGGATGACAATCAATTGATATAGTAGCTTTCTTCTACATCAAATCTATTTACATATATAAATTTATGTACGTATATGTTTAAATAAATAAACGTGTATTTCGACGATACAAAATTTATTCAATTGATTTACCGGCATGGAATCAACTGAAAACAACTACAGTGGTCAATCCCAGAAGCAAAATAAATTTCATCACTTAGAGATAGTCGCAGAGCATGAAAAGGATTCGAAAGATCAGTGCTATATGAGCGTTCAAAAGCCTGTTAGTCCCTCAGCTTTCCTCGAGAAGCGTTTACAAAGAAAGCCAAAATTTTTCGATTCTGGAGACTATCAGATGGCCAAACAAAATGTCAACAGTTCGAAGAACTTATTCGAGACCGTTGGGGTGATCATTCCAACTCCAGACACCGTTTCGGCACGTAAATCTTATCATATCGAGCCTAAAACTTCTTCCTGGAAGGACCCTAACAGCGATATTAGCAAATCCAAATAAGCCTAATTCCTAAATTATACTATATGCCAGTAATTAAGTTGATTATTATGTTTTTGGATCACAAATGCTGCCTTACAAAATAAACTTGTTTTTATGTTATTCAATAATAATATATAATAAAATCGTAATTTATAAAAATCAATTCTACAAAATGTTATCGAGCTCACCTGCAGGGAAATTATTATGCGCCTTACAGCACTGCAATGACAATGTTTTGTTTGTTTAGTAGTGTGTACACATTGGCCCATGAGCGAACATCGATAAGTGTGTGTAAATATCGTTCCACCTCTAAGTAACAGTTGTGTGCACACTGGCCGATCGGTCGTCGTCGTCGGTACGGTGGATTTTTGTAAATTTTAGAATTAAAGTAGAAAGGCAATTGTTTATGACAAACGCGTAGTTGTGCGCATTGGTTTAAGCGAAAAGGTAAAAAGAAGGATTCATAATAATATTGATTCAGGGCCAAATATTGTATACAAGTATATATACATATGTGTGTACCCGTGTGCTTGGCTTATCAAAAGAGACATAGAAAACTGCAAAAACAAAGGTGTTATTGACTTCGCGAGTGGCAGGCAGCTTTCTTTTTTTGCTTCTGGCTCGTCGCGCATTCCAGTTCCACCCTCTGTCTATTGGATTTTGCTGAATGAGCACAAATTTGTTTGTATAAATAATTAAACACCAGCTGCGGCAAGTGGCCATAAAATAAAGCAACATAAAACAGCTAAATTCGAAATGCAATCGAGTCTGGGGCAATCAATACAAACACAAATACAAACTCAATTGCAAATACAACTGCAATAACAACGGGCCCCTCGAGTATCAAACGTATACGTGTGTGTGTGTATGTAGGTGTGTGTATATGTGCGAGAGTATGTAAGTGGTGCGTGAAAACAAAACAAAAATTGTATACAATATTGAAAAAGAAAGCGCATAATTGAATAAATAATAACAAATGAGGGCGAGGCCCAATGACAAAAAGCCACTGTTGGCATCAAAGCGAAATGCAAGATTAACAAAAATATGCATGCCTGACGCATTGTTTACGTGATTTTGCCATTCCATGCAAACGCAAACTCACACAAACACAAACACACGCACACTTGCGTGCAGACGTGCAAAAAACAGTTAACTCTTGTGGTTGTGTGCGGGTGCATTGGTCTCAGGGTTTCTTTTGCAACGAACGAAAAGCAAAGGAAATAAAAGAAAAGAGAGTAACCAAGAAAAATGCGAAACTAACCGCAATGCATGAGGTTGTGGCTGGCCTGGACAGGGCATGGCAGGGCAAATCAAATTAGCAGCAAAGAACAAAAATGTGCAAAACGGTTGGGCACGCCCTTGAACTTGCGACATTCGCCTCTCTGCCCCTTCTACCCGATTGGTACTTCACTGTTAACCGGCTCAGAACCCGAAGTTCACTTCGGGTGGAAATTTTAGTGATATCGCGTCTCTTCCTTGTATCTATTCCTTATGTTATCTTCGGTCTTGTATACAAATTTTATTTTCATACATACACGACGAATTTACGCTGCTTGTCATACTATCTTATCAGGAATCTGTATAAATTGATTTAAAGTTTCACTGGCTTATCAGATATTTTTGCGGAGCGAGCTCGCTGCTCTTATCATACGTACATACAAATGTATATCTATAATAGGTACATTTGCGAGCTCGTTAAATATTATTATTTCATGTGCTCATTATTACGAAAGGAAATATTTATATATATTATACATTATTTGTAATTTTTGATACTGACTTTTCCAATAGAGCTGATAAATTTCTTCTTTGTTTATAAAATATGAAAATAAATTAATAAAGTCAATATAGACAGTTTGTTGTAGAAGTGTGATAAAAATAAGCTTAAAAAGGCTTTCTTTTATCGTCTGATTGCAGCTAGATCCCTAAGGACCCACACACACGAACAGATAAAGATGTTCAATTTTATGAAGAAAAGCGCCGGCGATGAAGAGAAGGAGCGTCGCAAGCGCGAAAAGAAACTGCGCAAAGAGGCTAAAGGTGGCAGCGGTGGTGGGGTAACTGGCAGCATGAGCACCGATGAACTGCTGCGTCTGGAGGAGGTGCGTCGATCGCTGAAGATACGGGGCCGCCGCAAGGAGAAGGAAAAACTGCCCAGCGGCATAACAGCGGACTACAGTGCAGATTTCTTTGCGGCCCTCAATGCCGATGCAGCCAGCGGCAACGCGAATGGGAATGGAAATGGCAATGGAAATGGAAATGGCGGCCCAGAGCAGGATCGTGGCAATGAGGAAATTGTAGCATCTGTGATGACACACATCGAGAGTCGAAGCGCCGCCAACGAATCTCTTATCTTGAACTATGGCGAGGTTACACATTCCCTGCTCTCGGGCGGACTGAAGGTGAGCATGCTAAGTCGAAGTTGATGCTTTTGAAATGTAATTACTATTATGCTGACAGAATCGATTTTTGCCGCCGGTGCCGCCAAAGCCGCCCAAGCGTGGCATTTTGAAGGGTTCGCGCAGCAACATGAGCAACGTTCACGAAGAGATTGTCTTCACCGGTGGCGGCACTCCCGAAATGCTGATGCGCAACACCATGCAAAATGAGCAGCTGTTTGAGGGCAACCGTGGCGGCGGCAGCGGTGGCTCCAATTCCAGCCAACATGGCACCTCGTTCACCTCCGTGGAGAGCCTGCGGAGCGACGGCGATCATCCGCCGCAGCAGCGCGCCATGACCCTGCCGGCGAACGCGCGCTATGGCGCACCACAGACGCCCACGCAGGCTGCCCATTTGCATGTGCTGACATCACCGTCACCGAGTGCCGACAGTCTCACAGATACCACAAACTCCTCCTTTGCCACGCCTCCATTCTCGCTGAGTCCAGTGGGCGAATCGCAGGGCATCGATCGCTGGGCCCGTGTGCACGCCTTTGAGGATGTGCAGCTGCCATTGCCACCGGTCCAGCTGGTGCAGCTGCCGCCGCCTAGGCAGCTGGTCATCAAACGGCAGAAATCACCGCGGCATGACTTCGGGTTCAGTCTGCGCAAAGCCATTTGCTTGGACCGCACCGAGTCGCTGATGTCGCCCATCTTTCGACCAGTGATCTTTGCGGAGCCTGGTGCTGGGGGTGGCGCCACGGGCCTGTTACCTGGCGATCGTTTGATCAAGGTGAATGGCACGCCCGTGGGCGATTTATCGCGCGAGATCATCATCGAGATGATACGCAACAGTGGCGATGCTGTCACCGTCGAGGTACGTAAAGCACTTTACAATCTCATGATATTCACACTCACGATAATCTTCTCTCCGTGTCCTTCACATATCTAGGTGCAACCCGTAGCTGAGCTAGTGGAGTTGAGCAAGCGCTGCATGGCGCCCAGCACGGCCACCGTTGAAGAGATCGATCATTCCATTAACAACGGCAACTGCAACACTCTCCGTCGCAGCGCCAGCAAGCGCTTCAAGCGTCAGGTAAGACAACAACTCATATTCCCATCTAAATCCATTAGCAACGCAGTGATTAATGAAAGTTATTACCTGGAATAGCAACAATATTATAATCACTCGTAATCGTTCCATTAATCATGTAATTTCGATAGAATTAAAGCTCTGAACGATCAAGTGGCGAGCAAGTCGGCTCGGTAATTTGAAAAAGAGTTGGCTGCATCAAATAGGATTCCTTCTAACTATCTACTTACCTATTATAGAAACTAACAAATATTCCGTGTTTTTATGAACCAATATAAATTAGAGTCAATGAACCAAAAACCTTTTTTTTGTGGCTATTCTAAATTAAATATTGATAACAAGCATTGATAAACAATTTCTTATTAAGGCTGGTCAGGTATTAGTATTATCTTGAATAGCGCAGCCCCAGCTGATAAGATTGTATTTCGTTAACTCATTATAAGCTTATACTTATATGGAAGATTAGTTATCTATCAGATATATTATTAACTAAATACTTTTTTAGCTTTTAAAAACCATTTATTATTTAACTGCCTTAACAATTAATTTGATTGCATTTATCGTAGAGAATTTGACCTCTAATAATAACATTCATCTTCGAAATTGGTCCAACTTATGCTAGGGTATTTTATTTTCAGAAAAGTAATATAATCTAGGTTTTTTCAATGTGGGAATCACGTTGGAGTGGTCAGAAAAAGAGTGTAAATATGTGTTTAAGAAAATAAATATTTGCTGTTTAATTTGGGGTTTACGTGATGATGATGATGATGATAGACAGGAAACGCAACGGCGTATTTAATTTTTTTTAAAGCCCAGAGTGTAAAATCTAATGGCAAAATATCGATCAGTTTTTCTATACAGGGTAACTAGCTATCTAGCAATTGCAATTGCGATTCCAGTTGAAAATCTTATTAACTTGTTGACTTTAGCCGCAGCTAGAAACGTGTTTGACATTTTTCCCTGTGTTTATCTTTTGCAAATGTGTTGTAAAAATTGTCAGCACCTGAGCGATCGAACGAGCGATCGGTCGCTGAGAAATTCCAGGCCCAGCGCGTTGCAGCTATAAAGCTAAGCCCCAATTCCACTTGGAACATAGTTGTTGTTTTTGCTGTCTGGCTAAGTTCATAAAGGCGTCGACATATTCGAGCGTCTTACTCACTTCATTCAGCAGACGAAAATAAAACGCGATTTGGCAACACTGCTGAGAAAAAAACTCGAACTGCATTTTAGTAAACATCATTAACAACGTGCTGCACAGCTCCCCTTTGCCCACACTGCAACACGAACAGCCGCAGACAAGCAGCGAACATGGACGAAGACGTTGACGTTGACGTCGACGTCAACATCAACAGCCACATCCACGTCGGCGGCAGCAGCAGCAACAACAACACAAGCAACAGCAGCTGCAGCTGTGTGCATTTTTCTACACCCACTTCGGACTGCGTCGGCTGCCTACACAAATAGCTGTCGTCGCAGTCGCTGTCGTCGTCGACGTTGCTCGTGCTGCGCTGCTTGCGTTTGGTTGCTTTTGTTTTTGTCGAGTTGCTGTTGTTGCTCGCTTCGTTGTCGCTGTCGTTGGAGCTGGGCCGTCAGTACGCTGCAAACTCTGCCCAAGTTCGGTACGGAAATCGAAGCGCGAGACACCCACTGTGAAATTTCTATGCGGGATTACAGTAACAACATAATTAACAA